TTGTTGGCATTGGGTGGTTGGGGGCAATTGGCCACAGGAAGCCTTGTCTGACCCCTAGGTTTCGTGCTAGTTGGCACTCAACAGTCAGTCAGCAAGGTATATCTGCATTCTTGAAGGAGCTCCTATCCCACCGACTGAGATTCGAGCCCGCGTCACCCCGAGCTGCAGTCAGAGGTGACGTTACCACTGAGCTCTTCGGATTGCCTCGCGATTGACGACCTCCTTCCTGTAGGACTGTATTGAATATATTTCTGATTGGACACTAGTCAGTAACTAATGTAATATGTGTGTCTCATCCTATCTTTGGTGTAGATTGAATTCTATTGTGGCGAGAGCTGTGGCTGTTAGTCAAAATCGGTCGACAGTAATTTACATCAATGTTTATGTCCCCAATAATTGGTCGTCAGAAAAATGAGAACAAAGGCTTTGCATAGGCGGATACAGTTAGCATAGAGATGATCTGACATTCAAGAAACAGTTATAAAGAGATGCAAGGTTAACTTTCTGTGAGAAACAACCAATCAGAAGAGTGTGTTAACAATAATCTATAATAATGTACATGAAAATCTATAAATATGTGTTGATTTCGTAGATAAACGATCTGTTTCCTGGCACTTGTCTTCTGTTGTTACACTGTAAGTCAAGTTTTGCAATGTGGCCACCATGTCACTAGGTGGCTTGCAATCACAAGTGCCTACAAGCAAAAAACCTAGGTCAGGCAAGGCTTCTTGTGGTCGATTGCCTCCAACCATCTAATAATAACAATCCTGAGTGTACCGTGATGGTAAGCCACCTAGTGGCATGGTGGCCACATTGCAAACTTGACTGACGATAAAATTCAGTCTGCAGTAAGCAAAGGACTAGGCACGTGACACTGGTTAGCTTCCAATCAAAAGTATCTAATACAGTCCAAAAGAAAGTCAATCGCGAGCCCAGATAGCTCAGTGATAACGTCACCTCTAACTTCAGCTGTCACTGGGTGCCGTGGGTTCGAACTCAGTCGGTGGGACATGACTTCCTTCAAGGAGATTGCAGATACGCCTTGCTGACTGGTGAGTGCCGACTAGTACGAAAGCAAGGCTTCCTGTGCCCTCTAACCGTCTAATAACAACAATCCTGAGATTTTATATATGTAAATAAATAAGAATTGAGAGCACTATTCAAAGCACACTGTTACACACTTCAAGTGTTATGGAAAAGAGAAGACGTTCAGCGAAAGAGACTCTTTTCGGTGGTGAATTCATTCACAAAGCTGTACAATCGCATTTATATATAATTATTTGTGTGTGTACATGAGGTTTGTCAAGTAATAGGTAATACAAGAATGACGTAAGATAGAAACAAGACTAATCAGACAGCAACTAAAGTAAGATTGAGTTAGTAAGTTAGATGACGTAATATAATTGACTAAAATGTTTCAACTGAGGTCAGGGTAGCAGCAGAGGTGATTACAGGTAGAGAATAAGTATAAGTGGGGTAGAGAATGATGCCACATAAATTAGGACTAAAATTGTGGAAATAAATTGTATGACGCAGCATAAATGACTAGAAATTGAACGTTGGTCAAGTCAGTAACAGTCATAATAAGGTGTAGAAATTAGATTGGGTGGGGGTAGAGAACAAAAGAATACTAATAAAGAAATGAAATCTCAGTACGGATCCGAAAAGCTCGAGCTTCTTTCGCTGACTTACACCATCTCTGGCGTAGGCGTGACATCCGGTTATCAACCAAGGGACGTGTGTACTGCTCAGAAGTTCGTTCCGTCCTTCTCTATGGCTCTGAAACATGGCCAATACGCGTTGAAGACATGAAAAGGTTGACTGCTTTCGATGATAGATGTCTGCGATCTCTGTCTCACGTTAGGTGGTTTAATAAGGTAAGTAATGTTGACGTTAGGCGTAGAGTGTTGGGCAAAGAGGGAAAATCAATCGACGAGGCTATAAAGTTACATAGACTAAGATGACTAGGTCACGTGCTGCGCATGCCTAACCATCGCCTCCCCCGACGGGCATTACTAGCTGATATAGGTTCAGGTTGGAAAAGAGCCAGTGGTGGCCAAACAAAAACATGGCCTCATCAATCCACGAAATCCTTGACAGTTTAACTGAGTCGGTCAGGTAGGGAGATGCAGACTCCCGAGTTGGGGCCCTCGGGACTGACTCTAGGAATCAATGGCTGGAGACAATAGGTGACATGGCTCAAAGTGATCGTTGTCAATGGCCAGCGCAGATGTATTCAGCCTCTGTAATCTTTCATATTCCTTTCTACCATTACCCATTCTGTTTCACTCTTATATTTGTCAAACTCTATTGATTCTCTCCACTCATCTTCTTGTCTACCTTTGTGTGTGTGCTATTTGGAAGGTGGCAACTCGAAGTGGTGCACTTCGGTGCCAAGTTCTATGTTGAATCCAGACAGACAGACTAATAAAGAGACAAAAAGAAAGAAATAGAATTTACTTGTCAGGTAATAAGATAGATTACGTCCATTGCAAGTGTAGTGATTAAACGAACTTCTTCTGTGTGTACAGAGTTCAGGACTTAGCAAGTGAATTGCCATTGCTTCTGTGGTTAAAAGAAGTCTGATTCGTACACGTTTAGGAAGACGACTGCCTCGTATTCTGTAGATGACTGAAGTTTGATTGGGGTGTAGCGTGTTATCCGGAATCTCTCAGATGTTTTAAGGTGGAGCTTCGGAGGCATCGTTTTTTCTCCTTTGTAAAACTATGCTGGCATGTGTTCGGTGATACGTTTAGGTAGTGAACGCTGGGTACGGCCGATTTGCCTGGCTCCACACGAGCAAGTGAATTGGTAGTTTTCGTTTGAAGGGATTTGATTTTCTTCACATTATGTCACAAACTGACTAACATTACTTAGAGAACTATTAAAACAGACGCAAGGGGAGTATTGGACAACTGCTGTTTCCTTTTAGTCTTGGGACTGTTCTGCGCAGTATGCACTCGTACCTTTTCAGTGGAGATTGTAGCCAAGACCCACAGATTACGAGGTGAACGTTGAGAATTCTAAAGACTCACATCATCTTGACAGTTAGTATTGGTGGAGATGTTTTCCTATTAAACTCTCTAGTTGAGGAAATTCAACATCACCAAAATAACTCTTTTCTCTTCAATCCTGGTTGAATAATTCAATTTACATTTTCTGAAAAATCAATGAATGAATGTGGACAAATAATGAACTGAATAAGGGACTTACAACTTCTCCTTCAATGAGTGTGAGACTTGGGGGACGGGGGCAATTAAGAGTAGGGAATTGCGGAACACCATACTCAGGCGGGGGTCCTCGACACTCTAAAACTCGATGACTGGAGACTGTTTGCTGACAAGTCTCAGGATTGTTCTGAATGACACTTACTGCCTGACTGGTTTCAACATAGAACAAATTTGCACAGATGTGCACCAGTTCAAGTTCCCACACTCCCTCCTTGTATCACACAAAGCAAGAGAAAAAAGTAAAAAGAAATGCAACATAGTGACAGCAAACAGAGATATGAGGCAAAAAGAATAGTAATAACGAAGAGCAATATAGTTGCATTAGGTATTATAAGTCACAAGGAGTGGATGCATCTGCGCTGTCATTGAGAGCGATTTTGAGCCATATCACCGGTTGCTTTCAGCTTTCATTGGTTTTCACCATCTCGAGGACCGCAACCAGGAAGTATACACCTCCCTACTTGGGCTGGCTTAAATTAACTGTTGTGGATTTGACTGACTGATGAATCCAGGTTTTCGTTTGACCACCACTGGCTCTCTCTCTCTCTTCCAACCTGATCCATCCTATGTCAGATAACATTGCTCGTCGAGGAAGGCGATGACTAGACATACGTAACACATGTCCTAACCGTCTCAATCGATTCATCTGCTTCACGGCCTCCTCTGTTGATTTCCCTCCTAACCTAGCACTCGGCCGAACCTTGACCTCAAGATTGCTCACCTTATTATACCATTTCACACGGGAGATAGAACGCAGGCACCTATGATCAAAGACAGCTAAATAGGCTTTTCATATTTTCCACTCTCAATGGCCAGGTCTCACAGCCAGTCAGCCATAAAGGAGAACGGAGTGGACTGCTGAGCAGAACACATGTCCTTTGATCGACAACCTGACTTATATCATGTCTACAACAAAGACAGCGTAAACTGGAATATGCGAAACTAGCTTTCTGTGCTGAGATTTCGTCAGCGATCAACCTGGATGATGCAAATTCGCAAATAAGTGAAGTGGTCAACACGTTCTACCACTTCACTGCCTATTTCTAAACTAGGAGTCAGTGTGGTCCAGTCCTGTAACATCACCTTACATTTGGCGGGAGCTGTAATTTTAAAAAAAAATAATGGTAAAGCTTTATTTAAGACAGTATGCGAATATACGGTACAAAAATTTTCAGCGTATTCAGTTCCAAAGTACTTTTTTCTTCACACAGGATTCACATGTAAAGTAATAATCTGAAGTATATCTTCATTTCGTTGAAGAATTGTACAGCGTTTACTTGGGAGCAAGTTAAATCATCGCGCAAATTTATGTATAGGTCATTTGATATAACTGGACGATTAAAACAATGATAAATCCAGTTGAAATTAAGCATTTTGGAGGAAAGTAATTTCTGTAGCCCAATGATTTAAGCAGGGCGCCTTAAATTAGCCGCCTTATATTAAGCTGTATAAAGAGCAGGTTATCGAAAATGTGAATATTCTTTGTTCAGTAATCGTTCTTTTGAAAAAAAATTTAATGGGCATTTTTAATCAGTTAAAATTGTGTAATCCATGCCCTTATTTCACTTATGAAACCATTTTATCGGCTTGTTTTTTCTGTGTTTAATATTATACCATTTTCTCGAAATGATGTTATCATGCCATGTTCTTATTCTGTCACACACTACTGATTGATTTAAGTAGTATACAACTCTGCTCATCTCAATCAATCAGTAGTTTATACATATACAGTTTTATGCATCTCTTATTTATATACTTTTCGATTTCTAGATTGACCAATCATATCTCACAAAATATTCACCAATCACAGCATTCGGTATATTTGATGGTCATAATGGACCAGAAGTCGCTGAACACTGTTCACATCTTACACCTTACTTACTCAGTATTGAATTACAACGACATTTATTCTCTGACGCCTATTCATCATTTAATGGTGGAAGTTCTACTATCAAATCTATACCAAATATTTTATCTGAAGTCTTTCATCGATTAAATCAGTCGGCTAATCATGGAAGGTCAAGAAAGGTAAGTGTTACAATTCCCTGGATGATTTTATTATTATTATTAGTAGTAGTATTTTGCTTATGTGCATTTTAACAAGTTCTTTTTTGTGATTGTATTTCGTGTCTTCATGCTGCTTTCGTGTGTATGTAAGTTACCGTTAGTCATTGGATACTTTTGTGTGTGTGCGCGTGAGTGTATATATTTTTTTACTTTACTTTACTTCGGCTATCTCCTACGGGAGGATGAGCCGGCTTCATGAACATCTCGAATCATCGCTGCCCAGGCGCGGCGATCTGATGCAAGGTTTTGCGACAGGGTTATCCAATTCTTGTTCCACAGACGGAGTCCGTAGACGGTTTGTAGCCCCAGGCACTCCATATCAGCCCTGACTGTACCAAGCCATGTTTTCAGCTGTCCACCCCTGCGACATCGCCAAGATGGAAATGGCGAGGGATTTAGAACTGATTCGACCAGATCGTCATCTGGTCGGCGCAGAACATGGCCAAACCACCGAAGGCGACGTTGTTGGACCAGTACTGGAATTTGGTTGATGTTGTTTGTAAGAGAGTTCATGAAGTTTCATGGGAATTAGGTACGAGTGATGTCCCCAGAATCGCTCGGCCTTTTGTTTGAGAGTGCAGCTCTAGCCTTTACACAACCAATTGTGACCTACAAGGCAGTAGGAGTGGAGTAGGGAGTCCACTATCCATTGGAAGCCAGCCGGTGACCGGAGTCCGGTTCATACGCCTTTTTGAATGGGGCCAGACATCCAGGGCATCCAATAAGCCCTTTGTCCATACGTCTGCCGGTGAGCTTCATACGCCAGTCGTTGGAGGTTTGGAATCAGGGTTTAGCCATCTCCCCTAGACTGTCATCCAATGGACAGTCAACCCGGTGAAGAGCGCCGGGCATCCGCTTTTGCCCTCTCACTTCGGTGAAAAACACCTCCGCCACGTGAAGGCAGTGAGTAGGACTTCCTCAGGAGAGGCTATGTAAGACACCCGGTCATATGGGAGCATTTCAAGAGGTGTACGGAGGGGTGGCCAACCCGCAGCGCAAAGCACCCACCCCCGACCATCCTGAGGCTTTGGAGGCCTTGTATATATGTATTACTGTCTGTTTTCGACATAGAACTTTGCACAAATGTGCGGAAGTTCAAGTCGCCACATTCCGTGTAGCACGCGAAGCAAGAGAAGAAAGTACAAGAAAAGCATAATAGAAACAGTGAGCAGAGGTGTGAGACAAAGGAGTAATAAAGAAATACAAAACAGTTTCATTGGAGATCATAAGTCACAGGGAGTGGATGCATCTGCGCCACTGAGAACGATTTTGAGCCATGTCACCAATTGTTTCCAACCATAGATTTTTACCGTCCCGAGGACCCCAGCCTGGAAGTCTACACCTTCCTACGTGGCTTAGACCAACTGTTGTGGATTTCATTGACTGATGCCAAGTTTTTGTTTGACCGCCGCTAGCTTTTTTCCAGCCTGACCCTATATCCGCTAACATTGCTCGTCGAGGGAGGCGATGGCTTGGCATACGTAACACATGTCCTAACCATCTCAGTCTTTGTAGCTTCACGACTTCGTCGATTGATTTCCCCTGTTTACCTAGAACTCTACGCCTAACCTCCATGTTGCTCACCTTATTATGCCACTTTACACGGGAAATAGAACGCAGGCACCTATGATCAAAGACAGCTAGTCTTTTCATGTCTTCCACTCTCAGTGGCCAGGTCTCACAACCATAAAGGAGGACGGAGCGGACTGATGAGCAGTACACCCGCCCTTTGGTCGATAGTCGAACATCTCGTCTACGCCAGAGTCGGCGTAAACTAACAAATGCGAAACGAGCCCCTTGTATTCGTGCTGAGATTTCGTCAGAGATCAGCCCGTTGGGGCTGATGGTACTTCCCAAATAAGTGAAGCGGTCAACGTGCTCTACCACTTCACTTCCTATTTTTAAACTAGGCGTCGATGTAGTCCAGTCCTGTAACATCATCTTGCATTTGGCGGGAGCGAATCGCATGCCAAACATTCGTAGATTGCGGCTCAAGGTGTTTAGAAGACTCTGCATTTCGTCAGCGTCTTCGCCTAGAAGGACTATATCGTCTGCATATTCCAAGTCAACGAGATTATTCCCCGGTAGCAAGTCAATCCCTGAGTCGCTGAAGTCACCTAGGGTTAAGTCCATTAACACATCTATGATGAAGTTGAATAGAAAAGGAGATAATGGGCATCCTTGACGGACACCACTGGTCGTCATCAGTTCAGATGACAGCTCGCCGTAAGCCCTCACCTGGCTGTATGAGTACGAATAGAGTGCCTTAATCAGTGCAATATATTTTCTTGGAATTCCCTTTACAGCCAAGCATCTCCAGAGAACTTCCCGATCGACAGAGTCGAATGCTGCCTTTAGGTCAAGAAATATAATGACTGTTGGACGCCGGTAGGAATGCCTATGTTCTAGAATCTGTCGGAGGGTGAAGATATGATCAATACACCCTCTTCCTGGTCTAAAGCCTGCCTGGCTCTCTCGTGTTTGTGCTTCCCGAGCACCACTCAGTCTACGCATGATTATTGAGCCTAAGACTTTAGATACTATATTAGTCAAGCTAATCCCTCTGTGATTATCACAGGAAGACTTGTCTCCCTTCTTGTATATGGGATAATCAGTGACTTACACCAACCCGAGGGACTTCTCTGATTCCCAGACGCTGCCTAGTACCTCAGTTAATCCGACAGTAAGCTGTCTCCACCGTACTTAAATACCTCTGAGTCATTCCATCAGGTCCCGCTGCTTTGCCTGTTTCAGATTGGTGACAGCTTTAGTAACCTCAGTTAGGGAGGACCTGTGTCTATATCCCATTCAGGGAGGTGTTGGATGCTCGGAAGGTTGAGCGTGGCTGTGGGCAATTAAACTGCTCCTCATAATGCTCTTTCCAACGATCCAGTCGTCTATCCTGGAGCTAATTATAGTGCCATTTTTTCCGAGATTGTTCACTATGATTTGTCTTCTCCCACCCGTTTCCCTGATGAGTCCAAAGAGTTGCCTGGTGTTGCCTATCCTCAGCTTTCTCCATCTCTTTGGCTTTTGTCGCCCACCACTGTTCACGGTCCTTGGAGACTTTCGTAAGTTTTGCAGCTTTCGCTCCTCATTGAATTCGGAGCTCGCCGGAATAAGTCTTCTAGCATCTATCAGTTGGATGAGGCGGTATTCACAGCTTTTACAGCTGTATCTATGGCTGCCTGGATATTTTTAGCTTCTTCAGGGTGAGCACAGCTGTCGAACACAGATATGTGTTTAGCTAGTTCTTCCTGAAATACGGATTTAGTTGTATCTACCACGTGTTCCAGAAGGAGCGACAATCTATTATGTAACTAGTTCAGTAGTGGTGATGGCTAGTGGTGTCCATCAGGGATCCCCATTACTCCCATTTCTATTCAATTTCATCATAGATGTACTGATGGACTTAACCCTAACTCACTTCAGAGACTCAGGAATTGACTTTCTACCAGGGAATAATCTCGTTGACTTAGAATATGCACAAGATATAGTCCTCCTAGCGAGGACTCTGGCAAAATGCAGAGTCTTCTAAACACCTTGATCTGAGCAGCAATCTACGAATGTTTGGCATGCGATTCGCTCCCGCCAAATATAAGATAATGTTACAGGACTGGACTACACTGACTCCTAGTTTAGGAATAGAGAGTGAAGTGGTTGGTGGAGCACGTTGACCGCTTCACTTATTTGAGAAGTACCATCAGTCAGTGCCAACGAGTTGATGTCCGACGAAATCTCACCACGGATACATGGGGCTAGTTTCGCATATTCTAGTTTACGCCGTCTCTGGCTTAGTAGACGTGATATCCGCCTGGCTATCGACCAAACGGCGGGTGTACTGCTCATCATTGCGCTCCGTCCTCCTTTATTACTAGCTTTGAAACCTGGCCATTGAGAGTGGAAGACATGAAAGGATTAGCTGTGTTTGATCATAGGTGCTTGCGTTCTATCTCCCGTGTGAAGTGGTATAATAACGTGAGCAATATTGAGATTAGGCGTCGAGTGTTAGGTAGGTGGGAGGGGAGATCAATCGACGAGGCTGTGGAGTTACATCGACTGAGTTGGTTAGGACATATGTGACGTATGCCTAGTCATCGCCTTCCTCGACGGGAAATTTTAGCTGACATTGGGTCAGGCTAGAAAAGAGCTAGCGGCTCTCAAACCAAAACATGACACCAGTCGATAAAATCCATAACAGTTAGTTTAAGCCAGACACGGGGGAAGGTGTAGATTGACTTCCTGGTTGGGGTCCTCGGGACGGTAAACACCAATGGCTGGAAACGATTAGTGATATAGCTCAGAATCGTTTTCAATGACAGTGCAGATGCATCCACTTCTTGTGACTCATGATTTCCAATAAAACTATATTGTTCCTCGTTATTACTATTTCTTTGTCTCACACCTCTGTTTACTGTCTGTATTATACATTTCTTCTACTTTTCTTCTGTTGTTTTGTGTGGCACATGGAATCTGGCAACTTGAACTGTTGCACATCGGTGCAAAATTCTATGTCGAAAACAGACAGACAGATTTCTTCAGTAGTAGGGAAGTAAACTAGCTTAAACTATTTATTCAAGTTACTTCTTGTTTCATACATTTTTTCCCCTTTATACATTTGAATGAATCAAGCATAACAGTAGTGTGTGCACAATAAGACGATGGTACCATCATTGTTTGCTTCGTTTGTTGGCTAGTCATCATCTGCTTACAGCCTAAAGGTACTTATTAAGTTCACGTACAGAAAATTTTTAACACTCTAAGGGGGTTAGTTAGTAGACGGTGGGTGACTAGCAGTGGAATCTGAAATGCGCATTTCGTCCTAATTAAGACTCGTCATCTGTATGTATCTCAGAGAGTTGAAGTTTAAACAAAAAATCAATATATGTATACAGTGGTAACAATAATGATAATAATAACTTTATTCCAACCAATAATCATCATGCATAGTGGAATCTTTT